CGCATTGTTCGACGTCGGAGGGTACAACGGAACCGGCCTCCCCGGGCTGGACTTCAATCTCCTTTGGCATCCGAAGACCGTAGAGGAGATCGAGAAGGCGTATCCTCGCGGGGACTTTTATCAAGAAGGGGACGCTGTCTTTTATAGGGAATTTGTGCAGAAGCCCAACTGCCTGAATTCGCACTTTCCGGGTGGCGTGAGTGATCCATAGTGGTAGAATATTCTGGGCTAACCTTAAATCTAAGCTCGATGCGCTCTTGAAGGATTTGCGCGTTGGACCGATCGTGCCCGAAAATTCAAGCTATCCCAACGTTCGCGGCATCAAGGACCTTCACTTGCACTATTTGGGGTGATCACGCAGTTTGCACAAGGTCCTTTTGAAGGATTCACGTAGATAACAAGTAGATTGTCTTGATTCGGAGTATTAATCATGTTTCAAATTCTCCGGACCCTCTAGATCTGGGGAAATTGATTAGTCACGCGCGCCTGATAAATTCACTTGAGCTTTGATACTTCTTCGCCTGCAGGTTCGGAGGCCTCCGAACCAGACCTCGTGATCTCATGAACGGAAATCGAGCTCCTCACATTCGCTCGCTCCTCGTTCAGCAACAAGGGTCTTAGTCTTACAGAGTCGGCGATACTCACCGATTTGGATAGAGTGAATTTCATGCCGAGTGGCTCAGTCGGCTCTTTATGAGTTTGCGCGTGGTCAAGGCTGGGCAATTCAACCACGGTCACGTGGTGCATGTTAAGTTTTTGGACGGTACGGGACCAGACAGCAAATGACACTGAACCACTTAACGCATCGACGTTCCTGCAAAATGTCGTTTCAAAAATCAAAGTCCCCTTTTTATTTATACTAGCCCCTAGTTTACATTACCGGTGAAATTCCTTACACAGATGCCATAACACGAAAGAAAATTTTACATCCAAGTGGCCTTGATAATATCCGACGCTCTCTCCGCAAAAACGTAGGTTGTGGTCATTGTAAACCCCGTAGGAAGATATGGCTAAAGCGCAAGAGTCAGTGGTTTGAATCTACAAATCACGGACTATGCTTACCAGAACTGACGCATCCACAATGCGCAATCTTTCTATACCCTTTACCAGTAGATCTGGGTCAACGACGCCGTATTGCGCCCCCTTTGGGGACATGCTTGCAGTCCCCACAACATGGCCATTTGGCGCCGCGTTAGCTCGAACGTACGTCTCGATTTCAGCATCTGTTGCTCCAATGGACAGATTGGTCGTAGTAGCCGGCCCCAAAATGTATCTTTGCCATGCAGTCGCGTTGAGGAATCGGTGGGTCATTTTAACAGCTTCTCGCAGACCGAGAATATCAAAGTCGGTGGTCAGCGAGGCGACGTCAATGAACGGTGGGGCGAATGGATCGTTACTAGATAGTTGCACACTACCCCCTAGAAATACATTCAGCGCGGTTGCATACTCCTGGTAGATCCATACTCGATGTGGGCGTCAACAAAGTGGCTGGCATGCTCATAAAGTTTCCTTCTGCGGTCAGGCTGATGTCACCATTCTGATTTGACCATCAGGAGGATTCCACGAAGGAAAAAGCAAACTGACTTGCGTTGTGCCTTCAAGATGAGTTGACTTCGGCCCCGCAGCTGGATCCGTGTTATTTTGGAATATGGGAGAGTCAGCCGGAATTCTGGTGAAAATATTGTGACTCGGGTAACTGTTACCCAGAGGACCTGCTCCGCCGGTTTGGTTCCACAGTGCAATAAGTTCATCGCGGAAAGTTGCATTGCGGACGATTTCATCGAAAGTTTGGGTCGTGTTGACGTTGTAGATGAGGGAGACTGCGACGTGGGCCGACAGATTTGTGCCTACTTGCGGCAAATTCACCCGAGGGGTGATTCCCATGGAAGTCAGGTATTCTGCATCCCCAATCCCGGAATTCATCAGCAGTTTGGGAGTTTCGAGGGTACCGGCGGAGATTATTACTTCCTTGGATGCGGTGACCAGCTGCGTGGGCTCTATTGAAATGTTAGTCGCTGTATCTGGGATTATTGATGACTGACCATTTGGTCCATTAGCAAATTCAACGGAAAGAAATGTAATTGGGTTGGAACTCGTCTGGACAACCCTTGTTGCTTGTGTATTCAGCACAACATGCAGATTTGGTCGTGCAATGAACTCAGGCGCAAGGTAAGACGTGAATGAACTGCTGCGAAATCCGTGCTTGATGTTACTTTGTTCCCAGGCTGTATGGATATTATACGCGCGGCACAAAGCTCCGAGTATTCTCTACTCACAGACGCCAAGGGGCGAACCGGAGTTGATATCTTCATTGAACGGAAAATCGTCGCTCAGTTCTTTAAGGGTGTCAGAAATCCGATTATCGAAGTCGGTCGGTGACGGAAATCCTTGCAAGCTGACTGTGTTGATGCCGTGAAAGCCGTGAAATTTGGGACTGAACTGGCCGGTTTGATTGTGATGGTCTGTCGGAGGGGTCCATCTTTCGTTCTGAGGGAACAAGTTTGTTATACAACACTCGTTTATGAGCTACTCAAGGCATACCTTGCGCATGTAGAATTGCAGTTCATCCCATCTACGCCACAAAGTTGAATAGGCTTCACGAGCGCGAATAAAGATGCCGTACCCCCAGCCAGGATCTCCAGTGACCGTAGCATATCTGTTGTAATCGTCTTCAGAGCCCCGTACATATCCCAGCCCGTCTACCATGTATTCATCAATAAACAAATAAAAGTTTCAAATCTAACACGAACTGATACAAGTACACCCGCCCAGAAGCCGGCCTCTTGGGTATGTTATGGTCCGGTTATTGAGCCCAGCCGAAGTCACAGTGTAGTTCCAGTCCAATGGACCGGGTTGCCTCAGAAATATGCTGAAGAATGGAACAGTGTAATTTATACGGCCTTCCGGACTTGGCCCAGCTTCGAGCAAGAGAACGTTAAAGTCTGGATTCTCTGTCAACCGATTAGCGACTGCATTGCCGCCCGCTCCCCCTGAAAAGAACTTTAACCAAGTCCAAATACGAGGATGATTCGCTGACCGCCTATAATAACGAAATCGAACGTGTGTTGAGGTAACTGGGCAAAAGAATCGTAAATTGCAGCCAAGGCAGGCTCGACGAGAACCAACGACAAGGTCTTCGACACTCGCATAATGTGGATGCTTCAATTCTCCCAGCACGACCGTTATATATGTTTTGGATCAGCTGATAACGCCACTGACAGCTTCCATTCAGGCACGATACGGCAGTTGACTTGGGAAGTTCACCTTATTTATCTGTCTTCAGGCATGGCACGATTTGCGCAGAGAACTGAGCTAGCTTGAATTTGGGAGAGGAAGGTAGGAATGATGGGCCCTGAAACACTCTGAATAGGCCGGCCAAGAGGTGAATAAAATCGTTGGATTTGGTGCACGGAAGCGCGGGCCGTTGGGTCGAGGTTCGGGGCCATTGTCAAATCAAAGACCTTTCTGATACACCCCGGCTTGTTATACACACACCGGAAAATGAAGAAATTCACCCACGGTGAGTTTGTAAAGGAATTTTAAATGTTCAAACCTACAATCCAATCTTCGAAATTCATACCATTCTATACTGTAAATGAACTTTGAAATTCAGCACAGTTTCATCAGGTTGGAGTTCAAAGTTTCAGCCACAGCCACAAACCTGAAAGTATTTCTAAGGTTCAGAACCGGCTTCAATAACTTTGCAGCTTTTTCATTCAGTGTGCCTGAATATGTTTCAGCAGCGCTGGAACTTTAAATTAATTTACAGATTCATTGCGCAATACAGAGGTGGAAAATTCCAAGTTCTTCAATGAAAATACAGGAGCTACAAATTACAAACCTCAGTTCATTCATAATTTCACATTCATAATTCCATTATAGTGCTGCAGGCCCCCTGGGCCCATGTTGCACTTTGCGAGATGACAATGTAGATACCAGCTAGCATGGTGAGTGGGCGTGATAAGGTAACATGGGAAGGGTTGGAGTGGAGGGATGCTGCAGAGGAGTGGTCATCAAATAGCTAAGGGGTCATGGCAGTAGTATATGGGTTTGGGCCGTTCCACGAGGATACTGTACAATTTCATTCAAATCGGCAGTCACGCATCACGCACCCCTGTGCCGCGACGAATTTTCGTCTCGGTCACGGGTCACAGCACCCAGTGCTGAATGTAAAATGCGTGACACCCAGCCCAAATCTCTTTTGGAACTGCAAAAAAGGCAGAATTTTCGAAAATTTACGTCTTGAATGCTGGAATTTTGCGAGTGTCACGCCAAATTTTGTTGGGTGCCGAAGTGCCAAATCAGTATTTTCGGTCATGGGTCACACCCTATGCCGAATTTAATGAAATTCTACAGTATCTAAGAGAAAAGGAAGAAAGTAAAGTAAGCAAGTTGAGCCCTGGTCAAAGCCCATAGGCAGGGAGGCAGCCGGTGTCTCACATGAATGCGAGCACAGGGGTGGTGTGGACCTTGGAGGCAAGGAGAGAGCAGAGGGATGGGCAGTGGGTACAGTGAGCAGGGTATATGAGGAGGAAGGGGGGGATGGGTATAGCAGGGAGGGGGCAAATTTGAAGTGATAGAAAGGCATTGAGCCTGAGTACATGCAATTGCTTTGGTGAGGGGGAAAAAGCAGAAAGATACGAAGGGCACAATGGAAAAGGAGAGCATGATGTCAAGGCTTTTGTCGAAATGTCCCACCCCCCCCCGAAAGAAATAATATGTAAAGATTCAACCCTTCGCAAAATATGATTGGAGTGGGATTCGAACCCACGCCTGTTGTCTTAATGTTGAGGGTTCGCCTTTCCGAGCTTGCGAGGAAAGGACCTAGGCACCAGAAGGCCGCCGACGAGGGCCCCCCGAGCCTTCAAAAATATGGCTGGAGGGGGATTCGAACCCCCGCCCGTTGTCTTAATGTTGAGGGTTCGCCTTTTAGAGCTTGCGAGGAAAGGACCTAGGCACCAGAAGGCCGCCGACGAGGGCCCCCCGAGCCTTCAAAAATATGGCTGGAGGGGGATTCGAACCCCCGCCCGTTAAGACTAGTAAGTGATACACTGAAGCAGTGTTAGTCCTGAAACTAGCGCCTTAGACCACTCGGCCATCCAACCCACGCATGTCGTCCCCACCGTTCTCTAGCCATCCTACCTGCGCGGCCGTATCATGTGCACCGCGTGGTTGACCCCGGCTACCCCTCCCTGGTTGCTTTGCTCTTCCGCGACTGTCGCCCCCCGATGACCCCCATGAATATGTACTGCGTGTTTGGTCAGTGGGTGGCTGCCCGTAAGCCGGAACTGTGGTGTGGCGGGAAATTTGGTTCCTTCCGAATGGGAGAAATTCAAAAGAAAACTAAGTGTCCCAAGAAGTTCCAAGGAATTGCCTTTTCAAGGATTTGAAGGTGAATAAGTTCAATTAGGAAAGTGATGTGTCAGCAAGATTAGTCACCAAGTCAATGCGTTGCTGGAAACCGTGCTGGACTCTGGTTTAGATTCAGAGGTGGAGGCCGTCCTCGGTGCTCAAACACAAATCCCTAACACTGAGAAGGCGTGCGCACCCACAACTCAAGAATTTTGCAATTGTGACGCGGTCCGCAGGGGAAACATTTCTTTGGATTTGTTTGGTTACAAAGTAATTTGTTTTCGTTTGAATGCAGAAGACTCATATTCCTAGCTAGGTCTCTCTTTCTGATTTTGGTATCCTGCCGAACACTGCGGATTCAACTTTCACGGTGTTATCGTACATTTCTGGTACTTACTCCGAGTCGGAACACAACTGGGGTAGTACTACACTTTACTTGCCCTCCGAGTTGAGTCTAACACTATGCCCCAAAATTAATGTGTATCTTTGGATTGAGATCCAATTTCCAGCTGTAATACTACTGAGGGAGCACCACGAAACCAGTCCGAGGATACGGAGGAAGGGCATTCATTGGACATCCGCCGTACAGAGTCGAGCCGAAAAATGCAGCTGACAGTACGAAACCTTCAAGCAATATTAATGTGGGGAACAGAACGCACGAGGCTGGCGGGGATCGGGGTACACTGAATGAATGTTCGAATCGGAGTTTGATGCCGCACGACGCGGACAGTAATAATGTCCGACTCGGGGAGCGGAGTGTGTTCGGGGGGAAGACCGGACACAGAATAGAGTAGAGGATTGGAATACCGAAAGAATTAACAATCGATTTGACGCTCATCTGAACTTACTTTTCCTTTTTGGGCGACTCTGTTACAAGCTGATGAGGGCGCATCAGTCACATCACACTCCGCCACTCTTCTCACTCCAGTGAAATGGTATGGATCCACGCATTATGCATTAAATCTATTTATAATGGTACAATAATTTTACATCCACATGCTTGAAAAATCTGAAAAGTCCCAAAAGAATCCACGGAAGAGAGAAAGGAGTCATGTCTAGGAGCGCTTTTATGTATAGCGATATGGGTGGACGTGTGTGGACCACGTTTGGGCGTATGTCAGTGCAGGCAAAGGCGCTCGCAAGGGATGGGGCAGGGGTCGGCGCTCGCAGGTTGATAGATCTAGCGGTAGACGGTATCCTTTGTACGAAATGCGAGTCGGTTGGAGGGACATGATGAGGGTGCGTGCGAGTACATCAGAGGGCGCACGGACGACGGAGATGCCAGGTGGCCATGGCTGCGGGTGTGCGATGCACGTCGAGAGTGTGTGACGAGTATAAGTAGTATCCGTCGACGCATTCAAGTGCAGTCGGAGTTGTATGCTATGTCACGGACCTCAGGAGTCAAGTGGGGTCAGCACCCCCCAACAGTCGCCGCCCGCCCCTGCCATAGACCCCCCGCACCCGCGTTGGCAATGTCTGTCCCGGTGCGGATGAGCTCAGTAAGCCGGGCATGGGGACGCGCCGCGACGAGGAAGAGCGCGGTGGCAACGACGGGGCGCGCGCGTTGATACGGAGAAAGTGAGGGGTTACTGGCGCGGCGTTCAAAGATGCGGGGCTGCGGTCTACCGTCCTTCGAAGTGCACTCGAACGGCTGAGCGGCGACCGCGGACGACCCGTACTCGACCGCAGACGCGCACTCCATAGGACTGTACGCCGCGCTCTCCTCCCGCCCAGACACACGCGCTCCACGCTGGGGTTCGCCGCGACCTCGACGTAGGCTGTAGACCACAGGGCAGGCAGCGGCGTGCGCAGGGTGCGCAAGGCAGGGGCCGACGCTAAGGCAGCGGAGAGCGCGGCGAGAGACGGGTCGGCGGAGAGGGGGAATGTGAGGGTGGTGGAGTGCTGAGGGGATTTATTAGTTGGAAAAAACAAAAGGCGGTATAACGGGAAACAACTCACAAGTTGCTTACACAGACTCACAGACTCCGCCAACGCATTGAGCATTGCGCACGGGGCGGGCTGGGAGAGGTACGTCCCCGCCGATTTGCGCACATGTAGCTCCTGCAGCGTATTCAACTTCCGAATCGCTCCTCCAAGGTTCTCGACGGCATCGTCGCAGCTTGACTTCGGGAGCGTCACGTCCAATACCAAGAGTTTCGGTAGCATGCTTAAGACCTCTGCATCGCAGGCAGACGGATTAGGCAGAACGAGGATGTGTACGGAGGGTGCGAGGTGAGGTCTGGTGCGCAAAGCTTGGAGAAGAGACGCGGATTGATGAGGAGAGTGCAGGACGAGAGTGTGATAGAATAGCGGGAGGCCGATGCGGTGGAACGCATGGCAGACCAATAAAGACGCCGTGCGGCCTCTCGTCTGCAGTTCCTTTCCTTGCACAGACGAGTGAGGATGCCAAGAAGCGCGCGGATGCGGAGCTGCGGGCGCGACAACGACGTGGAGGAGGATGCGTTCCAGGAGCTCTTCGGGAATTGAGTGAATGAATTAGAAGACATTTCTGTATTGCTGGGTTCGAGTGCAGAATAGTGTAAAGCGTCGAGTAGAGAGTGGAGAGAGTCGGGGTTAAATAACAGAAGAATTGAGTCAGCGGAGGAAGTGCGATGCGACCACGTAATTGCGCCGTTGACCGACACGATAAAGCCGGAACAGGAGCGGTGGGTCCACGAGTATGGTAGTACAGAGAACGGAAGCAGGAGAACAAAAGGAAATTCCTGTGTTGGAATGGAGGCAGGCGAACAAAAGGAAGTTCAACTGTTGTAGGGAAAAACAAAAGGCGTACTAGTGACCGAATGCGGAAATTGCCTTTCTTAACCACCACGCCACACCCGCAGATCCCGTCTTCCCTTCCACTCTGCCTCGGAGCCTCCTTTTCGCTTGGACTGCATGCTGCTGGTTATGCACTGCAGCTTTTTGGTTCACGCCCGGCCACTCCGAGTCTCTTTTCCGTTTGCCGCTCTCTGGACCCTTGTTTTGAAATTTAGTTGGCGATCCATTTGACACAATCCCCGTCTGGCTCCCTCGCATTACGGAGCAACAAATGTGCTCAGACAAATTACGGAGACGGACCGTGTCGGCCGATCCGAGGACCTGTCACCGCGGTCCTTTGTCGATCGACATCCGCGACTTCAACTTCGAGTTAGGTCACTACTTATCCGATATCACGATGATCGCACTGCTGCTTATTGCTGCTTCTCCCGCGCCTTTTGAGTTTTTGGTGGCCGCTCGCTACCTCCGACTTGGCGTAATGATCACGGTCCCCTATCCCCACAAGAGTACGAATCGGAATCAGCTCGCGCCTCACCATATGCACTCTCCGGACTCGGACTTGCTGCTGTGTACCATGTTTACTATATCCGTTTCTCTGGGTCAGCGTGTACGACGCATGAACAGACAGACAGACGACGCACGACACTACTCCCGCTTGACGCGGCGCGCAGCCAGCCAACTATAGCTCTCTTGACTATAGTCCCGGTACAGTGCATATTCTATACCCAGACCGACCCTGAAACACTATGCACCATGCACCCAGCCACACCCACGCCACCCCTCGCAACAACAACCTTGCTTCTCGGTTCGCACTATCGACGCTATCCTCGACTCTAAGTGATGGCGGTCTGGCTTTGCAGCTGTGCTGTCCAGTTTTACATTGCGAATGTTGCCAAGCTTTGTCGAGGATAGGAACTCCGCGGGGCTCAAAGTCAGGGGCAATCTGAGTCAGGCCATGCCTGTCCTCGAACAACCTCGGTCGACGAAAAAATGAGCTCAATCCTTCGCTCCTCGTCTATCTGCATTTATGCTGCATATTCTCGCTTTGGTTTTGCGCACTCTGCAAATAGTCATACCTCGCACAAAATCACACCTAGACCGGGACTCATATCCCCGCTTGCAATCTTTTTCCTCGCTCAATCACGTATCACCCTTTGTGATTTGAAATGCATCGGCTTTTACCCAACCAACATTAGACCTAGAACAGGACCACATCGACACTCGGAGGGAATAACATCGACCGTGATACTGTGATTTTAAGCCTGGCAGGTGTCACTTCTTCCAACTCGCAAGTGCTCCAAGTCCAAAACCCGCGCATGTCCAAAACATCAACCCGGCTATGATAAAGTCACTGGTTGCATTGACAATTTGCCTAATAGTCGAAATGTCGCTCTGCCCAGCTGTTGAACGTTGGTCCGTTCCCGAGTGCCACTCTGAAGCTGCTTCTAATCGGGTTCGAATGGATCCTAGGAACCGGACCCACTTGAACTTACATCGCCTCGCGTCTGCGAATGGCTCGCTCACTTGCTTCATAAATTGACCTGGGTCCTGGGATATTTGGAATTTGGTTGGGGAACACGCCAGTGACGGCACCTCCTCTGGGCTAATAACCGATTCAGGCTGGTCCTCGCAACTCCAATAACTGACACTCCAAGGCTTCCATTAATATCCGATTCTGATTCTATGCACTGCCGACACTTATCCGCCCCGGGTGTGTGGGTAGCGGCGTTCACCCATTCATTACTGGGATCAAATTGTTATCGTTATCGCTGGGTTGCTAGTAAGGAAGACAGGAAGAAGAAGAGGAAGGCCGGAAGGACGCAAAGGAGGGAGGGAGAGTTTTCAGCGTACGTCTTGATCGTCTCTCAATGTGAAATTTCCTTGAAACTTGATTGCTATGACAAGGACAGCCATAGTCAATCCTCGAAACTGACTTTGTGAGGCCGCCACAAGGCTGGGTCTGGGCTAACTTGCC